AATTAGATCGTCTGTAAATGAACTTTGAAGTAAAAAGAAAAAAAAAACACTTGTCGATATATAAGAAAAACATTTTTTTTTTTTGTAAAATCAAAGTTTGACATTTGTTTGCATTGTCAATAGCTTTGAAAAAATACCACTGCTGATTTGAAGTAAAGTATCACATAATTTAAGTGACCCGTTTCAGAAATTCTGACTCAATGCTGCACAGTGGTTCGGATCGCAAATCTAGCTGAACGAAACTATTTAAACAAATACTCGTTGATGGATCTTTACACCACTTCTTACCTAGGAGATTTTCTTTACCATGACTAAAAATTAAGATCACAGCAAGAAAAACAAATAAATTTGAGAAAAAATTGTATAACAGCGCTTAAAGATTTGCATGCCTGTTGTATAATTTTTTAATTTCAGAAAGCAGAAAACTCGCGAGTTACTATTTTTTTTTAACTCTTACATAACCAAAGTTTTTATAACTCCAAGCATTTTTCTGTTTTAACACACAACCAACCCGCCCCTCCCTTACATAATCAAAGCTTTTATAGCTCCAAGTATTTTTCTGTTTTAACACACACCCTTTTACCTTTTTTTGTTGGTTTTCATATGTTAATGCTTTAATAAATGCAATTTCTATTTGAATGTATTGTCAGGAATGTATTCCAAGTACCATTGAGTATTTTAAAAACAAAAAAATTTTGACTTTCGTCCAGCTAGATTTGCTATCCGAACCACTGTGCACTACTGAGCGGATTTAGACAAGACTTTTTATGTATATAATAAACGAAGTACAAGATGACATATGATAACTTTCTCCAAATACGTAAATGTACATACATATGCATACATGCAGCCCGTGGCCGGCTAGTAAATATATAAAATATTTTGATGTAATAATTTGCTTCACTTTTATATACATATCTGTGCTCATATGGAATAGTTGCTTATGTCAAAGGCTGATTTTAGAATAATGCGGCATTCGCAGCATACGATTCACGGTGCAGCGAACAGAGGTGGCGCCGTCAGTGTGTGTTAAAACAGAAAATGCTTGGAGTTATAAAAACTTTGGTTATGTAAGAGTTAAAAAAAAAATAGTAACTCGCGAATTTTCTGCCTTCTGAAATTAAAAAATTATACAACAGGCATGCAAATCTTTAAGCGCTGTTATACATTTTTTTCTGAAATTTATTTGTGTTTCTTGCTGGGATCTTAATTTTTAGTCATGGTAAAAAAAATCTTAAGAAGTAAGTTGTTTGACATTTGGAGAAGTGTTGCTGAAACTTCTAAAAGACAACAAGGTGTCCGTGATTATGTGATTAGTAAATTGAAAGAAATATCTGATGAAAATGCTCGTTCC